GGTGCTCAGGAGCCCTGGAGAATGACTAAGGAAGGGATAATCTTCTCCCAGAACACCCGACCCAAATCTCAACAAAGGTCGTTCTTGATCCACCACAAGAAGATGAGTCCAGCTGCTCAGAAGCCCTGTGCCAGCATCCCCGAGAAACAGAACCCAGAGCATGCATTTGTCTGTGTACAGGATTACAGACACGGACAAGTCCCACGTTGTCAGGGGAGCCTGGCAGGCAGGAGATGCAGGAAGGCTGCAGTTCAGACCCAGGAGCCATGTGCTCACTGAACACCTTCCTGGTAAAGAGTGATATGTTCTAGTCAGGCCTTTAACTGGCTGGAAGAGCCCACCCACACTATGGAAATTAATCCACATTACTCAAAGCCCCCTTATTTAAATGATAACTTCGTACAAAATCCTCCCTCATGGTAACGTCTGGAATTAGATTTGACCGGATGCCTGAACACCAGGACTCAGCCAAGCTGGATGAAATGAGGCACCACACCAGCTGAGTGCTGCGGGTGCCTCTTCTCCTTCCAGCTGGGTGCTCGGTGAAGCCCTTCCGGTAATATTTGTGTTGATGGAAGATGTTAACAGCCTGTCTGTCAGCTGAGGAGGTGGTGCCCTGCTGGAGGAAGTGCCCCACTGGCGTGGGCTTGGAGGATTCACAGCCTCACCCTGCTGCTTTCTCCCTTTCTGTGTGTGGATGAGAATGTGACCTCTGCTGGTGGCCAAATCTACTGTCCGGCCACCATGCTTCCCTACCAGCATGGACTCTCTCCCTCTGGGACTGTAAGACAAAATAAACCCTTTCTTCCTTCAGTTGCTTTGGGTCGTGGTATTTTACCACAGCCACAGAAAAGTAGTGCAGGATCCAACCATGTTTTCTCTATTCCCGACTTCCTAGCTTGTTGTCTTTGGTCTCAGACATTTATCTTGCCCTGAGCCATGAACGAGAGCAGAAGAGACAAGTGTGTCAGCAGAGAAATTGGCGGGCATCAAGCGTTTCCGCTAATCCTGCAAGGCATCTGTGCTATACCAGGAGGAACTTCAGCCTGGGCCCCTGAATGAGAACACAAATCGCTGAGCTGAACAAGGTACAGCGAAGCAGAGCCGGGCTCAGCCGATCTACGGCTGCTCAGAATAGCCCTCGCTGTTCCCAAGCACGACATCAACGCTTTTGGTCTGGACTATGGCTTAGTGTAGAGTGCTTGCCCTAGCCAGTGTGGGGCTCGGGGCTGCATCCCTCACTCCACTGGGGGGGGGGGAGATTTTAGTTGTTGAGGGGTTGAGGGCATTTGCTTTTCAACAATTGTAGACCCATATAATATAACCAACATTACCTGCTGAATCAGGTAATGCAAAGAAGAAAAGTTTACATTTGAGCTGAGGATTATCCCAATTCTTCACCCTGTTTTGTTCTCTCTCTCTCTCTTTCTCTCTCTCTCTCTCTCTCTCTCTCTCTCTCTCTCTCTCTCTCTCTCTCTCTCTC